AGGAAGGTCCTTTTATCAGTTTGGGGTGGGCTATTGCTTATTTATGAGGAGTGAGCTACTTTTAACCTATCACAGGCCAGATTGCTTTTATGGGCCCAGCCCTGCAGACACAGGTTTCAACTTCTCTGGACCACTGTGGCCTTGCGGGGGAGGGAAACCAGAGATAAGGGCATGAGGTCATTTTAGGAGCCAAGATGTACCAGGAGAGTGCAGCCTGCGAGGCGGCGTCACAGCGTACTTTAACATGATCAATTCCCTAACACTATCTTTGGGGGCCATTGCAGATCTCAACCCTAACCCATAAATAATTTCAGGAAACCACCGGAGGGAGGCAGCAGACTCCCTATGTCCTGTTCGGCCTGGTCCCGTGGCACCCGTGCGTGTGGCCTTGAGACCAGCCATGCCACTGCATGGTGCTTCAGGTCCACTCAGGCAGCGGATTCCCAGGAGATCGGAGCTGCAGAGAGGCAGAAGGGGGGGGCTCACTAGGGAGCGTGTGACCCCTGGGAACATGCAGTCTTCCCATTGGTCAGGGGAGGGGAGTTATTTTGGGAACAAATTTCCAGCTTGCCAGAATCCATGGATCCCCACTGAAACTGCCCGCCTTTCGTAGTCACCCCTCTGGCCCTCACACAAGACTGCGTCCCGCTGTTCCTTTCAAGGCAGAGCCACAAGGGGCCATAATGTCCAGGATGCACATGTCTGGGGTTGGGGTGCACATGGGGTGGCGGAAAGGTTGTGCGCGAGGTGCCCTCATGGGCCAACTCTCTTTCAGCACCATGTGTGACAGTAGTGGGAAGAAGCGTCACTCCTCAGGGAAGAAAGCCAGAGAAGGAGGTGCGGCTCCTCCGTCCAGCCATCTCTCGCTCGGTGGAGATGCTCATCGGGCAGAGACAGCCCAGGCCCGGGTGAGTCGCTGTCTCCCAGGCACACTGCATGTGGATGGGAGCCGAGTCCATCTGAGGGTGCAGTGGGGGCTGCATAGTGGTGGAGGGAGAGGAGGAGGACGGGGTGCTGCCTTCCGGAGAGGTCATCCTTGTCCTTCCTGGGGCAGGATGCAGATCGGGCCAACAGGCACTCTGGGTAGGACAGCAGGCCATGGGGCGGGGACTCTTCCCCTGGCCCAAGGTGCCCAGAGCGCCATTTTGGCTTGGGAAAGCGGAGGAGATGCTGAGGAGCCCTGGTGGGACCTGGCTGGGCCCTGGGTCCCGAGAGGCCTGGGAGGGACTTGTCCATATCATGGCTCGTGATGCAGCCACAGAAGCCGTGCGATCTCCCTGTGACACTTCCTCGCCAGGGACACTGTGTGGCATCTCATCTCCTGTAACTGAGACCTGATTTTGGTGGCACATAAAGGTGGGCTTTAGAAGGGGTCACTGCTAGCTTTGGTCCCAACATGGTCCCTTTCAGCTGTCTGACCGGGAGAAGTGCTTTCTCTGCTTCTTGACCTGGTTTTCCACGGCTGAATTGAGATCAGAGGGCATGTGGTTTTCCGAGAAGCGTAACAGCCTCTAACGTCCCAATTCAGAAAGTGCTCTGTTTATTATAATCCAGTGTTTTAAACCCAAGACCAGCAGCCAAAGTCACACTGGCTCGTGTTCTAGGTGATGTCCAGCAGGTTTTCTGACTTCACAGCACTGTTGAAGATCAGAGAACAGTGAGAAGGGCCTCCGGCCTCTCCTCCTCCATGAAGTCCCCGTTTCCGTTTCCCTCCTTTCCCTGGAAAGCCTCGCTCTCTTGCTGGGCTGTCATCCTGAGAGGGCGGGTCAGGATGACCTCAGAGCCCTGGCTCAGCGTTCTGTTACTGTAACAAAACACCCTGAGAAAACGAACTCATAAAGAGGATAGGCTTCCATACCTTACTTGTCAGAGGTTTCAGCCTATGACCAGTGACTTAGTTGCTTTGGGAGCCTGGTGGCACAGCGTGGTAGGAGGATGTCAGAGAGCAAAGCGGACCCCTCGTGCCTGGGAAACGAGAGCGAAGGGAAGAGCTGGGGTCCCTTCATCCCCTTCAGACTGCTCTCTGCAGTGACTGCGACCCCCCAGGGCCCACGTAGCTAACTCTTCAGGCTCCCTCTACCTCCCAGTCGCCAAGCTGGGGACCGAACTTCCACTCCGTGTGGCTTTGGAGGGCATTTCAGCACTGACCTGGGGCGCCCCCCACACCCACGTGCCTTTTCCTGTCCAGGTGACAGGGTGTTTCCGTCATCCGGGAGCTCCACCACCAGGCAGACGGAGACAGGTCTCCAAGTGGGGCCCCAAGGGGGCGGCCTTGGCACAGCCCGGAGGGGGCTGGAGGGCAAGGGCTTCGCCCCTCGGCACCCTCACTCCTGTGGTTCTCCTGCCTGCGCTTTATCGGGGCCACGTGGGAATGGGCCTTGTGCTCTGAGAAGCAAGGAGAGACTCCTGCAGGCTGGGGAGGTGTGTGCAGGGCAGGGCTGTCCCTGCAGGGAGCTGGAAATGCAGGGGCTCACAGTGAGCAGGGAGTGTCCTAGCAGCGCTCAGATCTTTGATACCAAATACGTTCACATCGGGGCGGATATGTGTTTTAGTCTTGGGGTTCACTGCTTGGCAGCTCAAACCTTGGGTGGTGCAGGGATTCCTGTCCCATCGGGTGGCTTGTACCCCTGGTGGTACCAACGAATCTTGTTACAGTTATCAGTGTTTTACTAATAAAATTCATTTAGGAGCTCTCCCCGCACACCGCCCCATGGGAGTGTCATGGCGGTGGCACTGGTGGTCCAGCCAGTGAGAACTTGTAAATGGGACTCGTTAGCCTAGAGGATACTAGATCAGTATTTGTTTTCTGTTTGAAGAGCTTGTTCTTTCCTCACCCTTTCTTGATATTCTGCCTGCTTTTGGTCAAACCTGTGTAATGGAGGAGTACGCTCTCCCTGTGTGGGCACAGAAACAACTTCAGTGTCTACTGGATACACCTTTCACTGATATCTGTGCCTTTACCTGAGTGTCACTTCTTGTGCAATATAAGAACCTTCGAAATGTACCTTACATTTTTCTGCTACTACTGTGCTTTCTGTGATGCATTTGGGGTTTTGTAGTAGCCTGTTTCTCTCCGTGCTTGCAGTTGGCTGTCTCCAGTGTGCGGGACAGGCAGCACAGAAGGGATTTTTGCCTTTCTATCTCCAGGTGCCTGAGAACGACCTGGGCAGGCAGTACGAGGAGAAGGTGCGGCCCTGGATGGACCTCATCGACTCACTGCGGGCCCTGGGCGTGGAGCAGGACCTGGCCCTGCCCACCATCGCGGTCATCGGGGACCAGAGCTCGGGCAAGAGCTCCGTGCTGGAGGCTCTGTCGGGAGTCGCCCTCCCCAGGGGCAGCGGTGAGCGCTACATCTTTACTCAGCTTCAGCCCCCCAGATTTGGGGGTGGGTGTTAGAGGCAGAAGTGGCTCTCCCACAGCCCTGCCGCTGCAAATGGAAGACAAAGGCTGTGATCTTTCTTCAGATTGCAGGTGGTCAGCCCCTCACTCCCTGTAACTGACCTGGCCTTTGCACTGGGCAGCATCCTGGTGTCTCTGCCGCCTCTCCTGAAGGCACCAGTCTTAGTGTTAGGAACGCCACCCTGCGATCCCTTGGGACTTCATTTAACTTGAATGACCTCCCTTAGGGTCCGGTCTCCCATGCAGGCACATTCAGGTGAGGGCTGCTGCACACGCATACAAGGAATGACCGTGAAGTCCACAGCACCATCTCACTGAACGCATCTGTGTTGGCGCTGTGGAATCTGCGGTGTGGGCAGGTCTGAATGAAAGGACGGGCGCTCATCCTGTGCTGTGCACTTGTAGCTGACCACCCTGAGTGCTTCCGTAGGAAGGTACAGGCTGGTACACAGGTCAGTGAGGTGCAGGGCAGAGGGGGTAAGTGCAGGCTCAAGAGCGGAGGCCGCAGCCTAGGTGAGAGCTCCCAGCTCAGGCCACTCGGAGGCCGTGAGAGAGAAGATGACAGCAGGGGATATGGGACTGTGCTGGGGACAGTGGTGAGTGGAGCATGTGTAGGAGACACTAGAGGGCAAGTGCAGATGCTTCGGGCATTCCCACCGCGTTTCTCACCGGAACTGGCTGCAGGTCAGGGGTGGGAAGCAGGAAGCCTGCCCTGAGTTGTGTCTTTCCACCACGAAGAGCAAAGTTCCCCCCTGGGTGCCTCTGTAACACAGAGGCCTGAGGTCACCGGAACCTGAGGCCTCGGCTCATCTGAGGGCGAAACCAGAGAGGTTTCTGTTCCCAGTGCCCCCTCCTCCCCTAACCCTCGTGTGGCAAGGGCTGTGTGAGTTGGAGCGGTGCTGGTCAGAGACCCCGTATGGGGGCTCTGGGACCAGAACAGAGGACTGACGTGGGTGTGGCCCCTAGGCATCGTCACCAGGTGCCCTCTGGTGCTGAAACTGAAGAAGCTGAAGCAAGATGAAGAGTGGAGAGGCAAGGTCAGCTACATGGGCACTGAGAAGGACATCTTGGATCCTCCCAAGGTAGAAGAGGAAATCAACCGAGGTCAGTGCCCTCGCCATCTGCGGGAGCCTGGTCCAGCCATGCAGTGGGGGCCTGTGATGGTCCCGCTACCCCATTCTGGACCCATCCTGTGCCCTCAGAACCTCTCCACACAGGAACCCGGTGTTCTTGCTTCTTCCCTCCCTTTGCCCTGTCAAAGACTGGGTGTAGGCACAGAAGTGGGCAGCAGGGAGTGCCCGTGTAACATTTAACGGAACACCTTAGCTCAGTGGTACGACGAACTGCCTGGAGAGTGCAAGGTCCTGAGTTCCATCACTGTTACAAAAAAAAAAGTAAGAAAGAAAGGCCTCAGAATGATGCAAATTTTAAATTTTAATACTTGCCTCCAGGGACAAGGCTCCGCTACCCTCATTCAAGAGCACCTTGTCCTGTAGATCGCAGAGCAGAAGCAGGACCTAGATGTGGGCAAAGGGGCTACTCCTCTGCTGCCTGATCCAAGGGTCTCCCTAGGGACTGTGTCCCCTTGATCCCCACTGGGACCTGTGGGCCTTGTCCCCAAGACTGTGTACTCACGTGTAGTTCCAGTTCCCTGACTGGGGCCTGGTTCCTCTGAACCTGAGCACAGAGTCAGTGTGAAACATGGGAGGAGACCGTCCCTACCCTCACCTTTGATGACAAGGTGCGCACAGAGCAGCCGCTGCAGGTGAGTCAAGGCTTCCCTCTGAGTCTCTGGGTTCCTCCTCTGTCACGTGGTTAAGTTCCAGGTGTCTGGGGGCAGTGGATGGGGCCCACACTGATCTCCACAATGAGCAAGGTGGCCTTTGTTTCTGCAAGGTGGTATCACCATTTAGCCCTGATCCACAGTGGTACATAAAGTTAAATAATGGTACAGAAGTTTCTTTCTTCTCAGTTGAAATGAGTTTGTCTGCCTCTCACAGAAAATTCAAAATAACTGTGTTTTGGTCAGCTCCGGCCAAGTAACATGTTGACCCCAGGGCCTCGTGACTGAAAGGTGCATTTCTCATGATTCCATGCATGCACAGCCAATGTTCATCCTGTGAGTGGGCTGGGCCAGGTGATGGTCCAGGAAGACCTTGGTACCATACCTGGCCCTAGGCTGTCCTGACTGCCATTCTCCGGGGAACATCAGGGTTTGTGGGGGCCCTCTCGGCAGCAGGGGAAGGCAAGGCCGAGGGACAGCTCTTCAGGCTCCCCAGAGTCACACTCGGGTGTTCCACTGGGCTCTGACCACAGCTCCATTGGGGGAATACGCGATCTGTAGATGCGACATGGGCCAGGTCCGGCGTGAGGCAGGCTACATGCAGGAATGAGGGGAATCCTAGAGGGTGGACGGCACGTGGCAGACACACACAGGTCAGCAGGTCACAGCACAGCTGGGGTGAGGGCTCCAGTGTCACAAACCACATGTCCTGCTTGTGTCTGAGCTGAGGGTGACCTCTGTCCCCCAGGCCCCTGTGATGGAGTTAGCAAGGCTGCATTCTGGCCGGCTGGGCAGTGACAAGGGCACATCAGTGCCTCCATCTGCCTTCTGGACATGGCGTGTAACATTTTCACAGGTGCCAGGGGCCTGAGCTCAGTTATCACAATCTCGGCTCCCGGGCACAGGGAGTTGGGGATAATTAGCAGATTTTCCCACTCCCACCATTGGTACTATTTTCGGTCTGTGTTCTAGGACCCTAGCAAACACTTGGCACAACCGGTCAGGAGACCTGAGCTATGTTGCATCAGCCAACACTTTGGTGAAGCAGCCTCACATCCTACACGTCTCGTTCTGGTGGGGGTTGGTGGGATCCGAACCTCTTAGGAGGTCGCCCACATCCGGGGCTCCTCCTACCTGAGCCTATCCCACCCTGGTCAACCCAGAGCTCCAGTTTGGGGGATCCCCTCCGTGTTCACTCCTTCCTATCCTGTCCCTGGGGATGTCCGCCCAGCATGGAAGGAAGGACACGGGAGCCCTCGGAGGCCGGGCACCACTTGGGCCGGGCTCCCCAGGGCCATCCTCAGCAGGACCTGTCTGGTGGAGCTGCCACAGCTTGGCAAGTGCTGAGTTGTCCTCTGAGGAGGCTCTGAACTCCGATCTCAGACGATGGGCTCTGCACCAACAGAACCCATGCGTAGGAGCTCGAGGGGAGAGGCTCCGCGCTCCTCCCTGGACTGTGACACCCCACTCTGAGTGCTGGCGGCTTTTCCCTCTCCTCTTCCAGCCCAGAACTTCATCGCCGGGGACGGGCTGGGAATCAAGGACGAGCTCATTAGCCTGGAGATCAGCTCTCAGCTCACTGAGTGCTGGCGGCTTTTCCCTCTCCTCTTCCAGCCCAGAACTTCATCGCCGGGGACGGGCTGGGAATCAAGGACGAGCTCATTAGCCTGGAGATCAGCTCCCCCTGCGTCCCGGATCTGACGCTCATCGACCTGCCCGGGATCACCCGGGTGGCTGTGGGCAATCAGCCGGCCGACATCGGTGCCCAGGTGAGGCTGCAGACCCCTTCAGCCTGCCGGCTCCTGCTTCCCGAGGGCTGCCAAGAGCTCAGGGCTGCGGGGAGGGGACACGCGGGGTGTGTGGCATGGAAGAGCCTGTGGTCGTCAGCCCCCAAGTTCGCTGATGAATGGGAGGCAAGCAGGTCCAACTGGAAACAGATTTCTGATTCTTCTGTTTTACGGGATGACTCACAAAACTGTACCTTTAACCGGTGGGTGCAGTTCCTTTTTCTAGCGCCTCCACTTCGGGGTCTGATGAGAAGGCTCTGGTCCCAGGAGAAAACAAGAGACGCAGGTGTGGAGGAGCCTTGAGAATGCACAGACGCAGGTTCAGGGACAGAGCCAGGCAGCAGTCTTGGAGTCGTGCTGTCCACTGTGACCACTGGACCTGAGGTTTCAGGGGAAAGTCAAGCAGCTGCAGGCTCCCAGGCGCGCCTGACCCCTTAGCTCTGTCACCGCTGCACATGTCAGTTTGTCATCCCGCCGGCTTGGCGTGTGCCACCAGGGCACCTGCTGTGGGGTCCTTCATCCACCCTTACTTCTCAGGGTCCGACACTGCTAAAATGTGAGGGCTCCGGAGAGCAAGGTTGGGACTGTGTGGCCCCCGCCTCCCCTCTCAGGGGCCGACGGTGTCATTTCCCACAGATCAAGCGGCTCATCAGGAAGTACATTGAAAAGGCCGAGACCATCAACTTGGTCGTGGTTCCCAGTAACGTGGACATCGCCACCACAGAGGCGCTGAGCATGGCGCAGGAGGTGGACCCCGATGGAGACAGGACCATAGGTGAGGAGCGGGAACGAATGGAGGGCCAGGCTCTGCACGCACCAGGGTGGGCACCTGCCTGTAGTGGGAGGAACGGCTGGGGGGCCCACTGAGGTGTGAGGACATGAGCTCCGCTTGGCTCCCGATGGCCACAGTGGGCCTGGGTCCCCCTGACCTTCCTGTTGCGGAAGGCGCAGGTGTCATTTCTCACAGTGGGTGCGCAGGGTGAGGACAGTTGAGGCATCACATTCCCTGGGAAGGGAGAAGGAAGCAGAGCAGGTGCCCTCAGGTCCACAGGGCTGAATGGTTCCTTCCTCTGTGCCAGGGGCTGGAGAAGAGGTCGGGAGAGCCCACGGTGCAGGCCGTGCCAGCAGCGCCTCTGTCCTCATGTCCATGCCCCGCATTGCTTTCTAGCCTGGGACTCTGGCTGCCTGTGGCTGCTGTGGGGACCCTGTGTGCTCTCTGACCAGGGTGGGACCAAGACCTGGGCTGCTGGGGGCTGGGGCAGGAGCCACCTTCCCCTCCACCTCGAGGGTCCCCTGATCAATGTCCCTTCTGCAGGAGTCTTGACAAAGCCCGATCTAGTAGACAGAGGCACTGAAGACAAGGTGGTGGAGGTGGTGCAGAACCTGGTGTGCAACCTGAAGAAGGGCTACATGATCGTCAGGTGCCGTGGCCAGCAGGACATCCAGGAGCAGCTGAGCCTGGCAGAGGCCCTGCAGAGGGAGCGGGCCTTCTTTGAGGACCACCCACACTTCAGGTGCGCTGTGCCACCCGTCTCTGGCAAACACCGCTGAAGACACCGTATCCACAGGGCAATGGCTCCTTGAGGGCGGATATCTAGGGTGTGTGGCAGTGTGAGGGGTGGTGAGGATGTGGGTAATAGTGAGTGGCTGAGTGTGACAGTGTTTGCTCTCTGGTCTGGAACAATAACGGAGGAGTTCGCACGGTATTACCCCCAGAACAAAAACATGGGTGAAAACGAGGAGGGCATACGGCAAGTCATTTGAACAGTGAATTCCAAGGTGAAATACCTTGAAAAGAAAAGATTGCACGTTGGTTCGGTCCTCAGTGAAATGCATGAACACACGAGGGCCTCGGGGTGTCAGTCCTTCCACAAGTCTGCAGGAGGCAGCCTTGGGACGTCACGTGTGTCACACGGGCCTGGACACACTGTGGCACACGACAGCACGCTGCATACAGCCTGAGAGTGGAGCACCCTGGGGTCTGTGGATAGAGAAACACACTGGGGTGCACAGGATCTGGAGCATCTTCCAGCCTGCGGAGGGAGGAGGATCCCCTAAGCCTGCACCTTGGTGGGACCTGGGGGATGCAACACTGAGCTGTTACAGCGAGCCCCGTGCTGCGTGATCCCCCGAGTGCCACCCCTAGGACAGCAGCCTCACAGAGGCAGGAGGGGCACAGGGACAGGGCTGGAGGAGGTGGGCAGGGCGGATTGGTAACGGGGAGACCTTCGTGTCTGCAGGTGAGAAGGCTCTGGAGAAAGTGCGGCTGACTGAAAAAGCAAGATGCCACTCATCTGGCATGAAAAAGGGGTCACGTGGTCCATTTGACCTCGTTTGTTTCGTGTCTGGTTTTCTATAATTGTGAAGTCAAGAGAGAAATTCGGCATGAGTGGCATGTCCCAGCCAGGCCCGTGCTCAGCATCCCGCTGCCCATGACCCTGAATGACCCCGTCACGCCCAGAGCAGCCTGAAACAGCCCACCCAGGGCACACAGACGTGGGCGGGATGAGAGGGCTGCACGGCCTCCTCGCTCCCCGTGTCACAGTTGAAGTTCCAGGCCAGGATGTGTCTGCCTGCTCTGTGCTCCTCTCACTCCTGTGTATTTGTGTGCACACCTGCTCCCGTGCGCACGGTGTACTCACATGTGAGAGAAGCGCACGGGCGCCTGTGTGTGTGTGCCGTGGAGACTTGCCTGTGCTTGTGTACAGGGATATTTTGGACAGGACGACCCGGGCTTGAGACACTGTTCTGACCCGCCTGGAAGGGGTCAGACACATTTGTGGACATGTCTGAGCCGGGTCTCGGCAGCCCTGATGTGCTCAGTCCCGCTGCGTGTGTTCTGGGTGTCAGTCGTGCATCAGCGACTCCGCTGGATACAGCTGAGCTGTGCGCGACTTACCCTGGCGCAGATGGGGGAGCTTCGTCCACGTCTCAGTGGAAATCTCTTTCTGTCCTCGCTCAGGGTGCTGCTGGAAGACGGAAAGGCCACAGTGCCGTTTCTGGCGGAGAGACTGTCCGCTGAGCTCATCACGCACATCCGTGTAAGTGCAGGCGGCACCCTGTGTCCTGCTAGAGGGAGGCAGCTCGTGGGCACCGAGGCTCTGCAGAGAACTTCTCTCCCCTGCGCCCAGAGCCAAGGTCTAGGTCCTCCTCCCCGACCCGTGGTGGGGGAGAGCAGAGCATGGTGATGTCTCCGAGACTATGCTGGTGAGGGCAGAGCTCACCGGGGTGACCTTAGCAGGAAGACCTTGCTCCCCTGTCCGACTCCCAGCCTGGACCACACCCACGAGGGTTCATCTTTCCCTTGCACTGGGTCTGGCTCCTGGCTCTGAGCTCAGATTTTCTTCCCTTGTAACCCAGTCTGGAGTCCAGCAGTGCTATTTTCTGCAGCCCGTGGGTGACTCCTGAGTCCTGGCATCGGCCTGCTCCTGTCCCTTATTGTCTTGCCAGCTGGCACTCGGGAAGGGCCGGTGCTCACCTCCCAGCCGTCATGGGGGATTGAGCCACTCATCTCACGGGCTTCGTGGGCAGAACCAGGAGTCCCCTGGCGAAGACAGCACACAAGTTGTAGAATCTCAAGGTGTTCCCTTTGCCCCTTTTCCTGACAAAGAGCATCAGGCTGCCGTCGGGCAGGCTGAGTCAGGAGGAGTCCCTCAGTGGCTGCTCACCGCCTCTGCACGTTTCATGGCTGTGAGCTGGGCGGAGGAACATGGCAGATGGGGCAGGGCTGCAATGCCCAGTGTGGATCTCTGTCCCAGGAAAATCATTAGAGGACCCCGAGGTGTGACACGGGCCAGGCGGCCCCTTTGCAGAGCAGGCCCAGGGCCTCCTTTCCGTTCTAGTTCATAGTTATACGTCCTGTTCTTTTCTCTCTCCCAGAAATCGCTGCCGCTGTTGGAAAATCAAATAAAGGAGCGTCACCAGAAGATAACAGAGGAGCTGCAGAAGTACGGCAGGGACGTCCCAGAGGATGAGAATGGGAAAACGATCTTCCTGATCGAGGTGAGGACTGCTGGAGACTCTCACCTCGCTGTCCTCCCCGGCGTCCTGGGAGCGATAGCCCAAGGCTCCCCAAGACGCACTCTGCCCACTTGGTACTAAGGAGAGTGCCGGTGGGGACAGAGAGCCGGGAGTCTGGACAGGCCTCACCCCAGAGCCGTGCACATGTCCTATGAGGTCTCTTCTGGGGCACAGCCTCTTCTCTCCCCGTGTTCCCGAGTAGCCATGAGGAGAATGAGTCAGCGACGCTCAAGACACAGAAGACCTACAGGCCACCACGCCCCTGCACTGGAGGAATCTGTGCTGATACGACGTTTCTCTTCTTGACAGAAAATTACTACCTTTAATCAGGACATCACTGCTCTAGGCCAAGGGGAGGAAAACATAGATACCAATGGCACCCGGCTGTTTGCCAAACTCCGAAGGAAGTTCACATCTTGGAGTGACGTGATTGAAAAGCATTTTAGAAAAGGTGAGTGTCTCGGTTTGTGCCGCTGTAGCTAAATATCTCAGCAACGATCACTGATAAAGGACGGAAACTCACCGTTCACACCTGGGGATGCTGGGAAGTCCGAGGTCCTGGCGCCTGTTCTCTGGGTGTCTGCTGAGGCTGTGTCTCTGCAGCTGCTTCCAAGGTGGCGGCTTCTGGCCGTGGCCTCACCTGGAGGACGGAGGGGGGCTCCTTCGGGTCTCTTTCCTAGATGCACAGGGTCTGTGTATGGAGGTGCAGACCCCGAGACCTGACATCTTCTTAAGCGCTGATCGGCGCCACCCTGTGGGTGCGGTTTCAACATCTGTTCTTGAGGGGCACATTCTGATCCCACCAAGGAGGCGGGGTGCAGGACAGGGTCTGGTGTGGTCTCTGAGGCACAGAGCGTGTGGTGTGGGAGGCGAGGAGGGTCACCGGCGTAGGGAGCTGCACTCGCTCTGTTCTTGTCGCTGAAGGAGGCCAAGGGTCATGTGACGCATCGGGCAGCTTTCCGGTTGCTGGGAAGAAACACCTGCTGCCCACAGCACCCGGGAGTTCAGGTCCGCTGGGCTCAGTCTCACAGTTAGCTGGCTCCAAGGCAGAAACACCCAGTGGCAGGGCCTGGCAGAGCAGAGCTGCTTCACACCGTGGCCGGGAACCTGGGCACCCGGAAAGAACCCTAGGGAGAGGTGGGACTTCCCAGGGACACCCAGGCTCCCCACCCTCCAGCGGGGCCCTGGCCCCTCGCAGCACGTGCACTGGTGAAATCAGTAGATTCGTCCACGGAGGGGTGCAGCACCCCGGTCCAGTCCCAGCCCCGGGAGCCTCTTCACCCTGCGCAGTTGGCAGAAGACTGAAGGAAACCACGCATCGAGCCATGAAGCCTCTGTCCAGTAAATGCCGTTCTTCAGGGAGCTCGACAGAAATCTACCTTTCATTCCAAGCAACCAGAGGCTCAGACTAACAGTGTGCTACACCTTTTACCTAAGAACATGGGACTGAGGCCTGTCAATCTTTGGGGCTGGCTGCACTGTCGCGTCCACTTGACCCGGGCAGAAGGCACACAGTGAGGACAGAGTGAGTACACGACAGGTTTTGCGATGCAGAGCCCAAGGGGGCTCATCAGGGGCCACGCCACATACATCACCACTGTGCCCACGGCCCGAGGCTGCTCCCCACTTCCGGTCCCAGAGAGCCCTGGCTGAGCGCCTGCTGTGTGCTGTGTCTCCACACCGGGAAAGGCCCACTCTGCCCCTTTCAGTTGGGAGAAAATCTTTGCAGAGCACACATGTATGTGATAAGGGAGCGCCTTGCCTCCAGGCAATCAGGAACTGTTCCAACTCTATCATAAAAAGACAATCGAAAGAGAAAACGAACGATGGTCTGGAATCAGCAATAGTCCAAAGTGTTCCTGAGTGGCCAATAAGCCACAGAAAGTGGCCACACATCATCCCCCATCCGGAATGACACTAAAGCACGGTAGAAGCCCATGTGGCCCCCGCGTGGTGAGAATCAGAAAGGCCCACCGTGACAAGCGCTGGAGAGGAGGCGGAGGCGGTGAAAGCCTCCACACTGGGACTGGAACTGTGAGAGGGCCCTGTCTTTGGCTGGCACTGCAGTGGGCACCGTAAGAGACGAGCCTGTGGCCCATCACCTCCACTCTTAGGGAGCCCAAGGGAACTGGAAACACGGTCACACAGAAGCTCGCAGAGGAGTGGTCAGGGCAGCTACGTTCGGGACAGCAGAAGGGGCACCCACCCCTGTGTGCCTCGGCTGGCGACTGGAGAATCCAAAGGTGTTGCCCGGCGTGTGTCTGCTTTGGCTGCTAGAACACAGCGCCAGCAGCTGGTGCTGGGACAAGAGCAGTGGCTGCTCCCGCAGTTTGGAGGCTGGCGAGCCGAGGGCAGGGAGTCTGCGGGCTTGGTGCCATCGGAGGCCTCCCGCCTTCTTGTGTGGTCAGCACCTTCTCCCTGTGCCCTCGGTCTTCCCTGTGCGCGTGTCTGTGCCCTGGTCTCCAGTCTGCATAAGGACACCAGTGAGAGCATCAGAGCCCAGGCTCGTGGCCTCACTTCCCCTCAGTTCCTCTTTATTTTAGAGTCGTGTCTGTGGCACAGAGACATTCTGAGGTCCTGGGTTAGGGTCCTGGAATTTGCAGGGGTTGGGGACAGCACACTAGAGCCTGTGAAACCATTCAGTGCGATATTTTCCGCCACAGAAACCCAGAAGCACTTACACACGCTAAGTGCGGCTGAACCTCCAAACCCTGATGCGGAATGACAGAAACCAGTGACTGAAGGCCACTTGTCATGGGATTCGTTTCCCGTGAAGGGTCCGGTTTGGGGGAAGCCACGGGGTCAGCACAGGGTGGGCTGGAGGGCGGCAGCCGGGGGACGTGGGTCAGACCCTCCGGGGTGGGACGTCCTCTAGGTGCTGGGGCCGTCCTGAAATCTGTGGAGGAGGGATTGCACAACTGTGTGGATATTCCGGAAATCATGGGGTCCCTCCCTCCAACGGGATGAGTTTTCTTGTATGTGCGTTCATCTCCATAGTGAAATTCCTACAGGAAAATCTGTCCCGTCCACGAGGCGCCAGGCTACCCCTTCCTGGGGAGGGCGCCCTTCTGAGTCTTCACAGCCCACGTCGCCCTGCAGGGCGCCCACTCACCTTTGTCCTTGCTTGCTGCTCCTCCACAGCTCAGGAGCAGGTGACCTGGAGGGGCCCCAGCTGGTGCTCAAGGTCCCTGTGTTCTAGAGGCCCCCGGCTCTGGGTGAGGAGCCCTGGCTGTCCCGATCCTTTGTCTCGGTCCACTCTAACGGGGTTCACGGAACTCCACACCTCAGTGCTTTTCCGAGAATCCGTCTTCCTCAGAGTTCTGCATCGGCTGCTCTCTGCCTCAGCACTTGTCAGCCTGCGCTTATGGAAGTGAATTATCTGGAGATTGGTTTCTTTGCTGCAGTCCTAGGGGTAGTTTCCCATTGGAAAAATCAAGATTTATTTTTGATTTTGCTGTTTTTTTTGCCACTCACATTTTCAGGAAGATCACCGTGTGATTGTTAGAAAAATCTACAAGGCTCTTGGGTAAACTAATGCCTACCTTACCCTCTCTTGCCGTAGGTTATGATGGTTTACAGAGTGAAGTCTGGAAATTTGAAAGTCAACATCGTGGCAGAGAGTTGCCCGGGTTTGTGAACTACAGGACTTTTGAGAAGATCATTAAAAAGCACCTCAAGGCCCTGGAGGAGCCGGCTGTGGACATGCTGCATGATGTCACTGGTGAGCGTGGCCCCTGCGGTGGCCTCCACTGTGTGGCAGGCAGAATGGTGGGCAGAGTGGAGGGGAATTTAGGGCACTCCCCTGGGTGTTTCCACAAGAAACCCGAGCTCTAGCTGCCCTGGGTGCCAGCCTGCGGCTCCCTAGGCCAAGGTGTGATTGCACCAGGAGCTGGTGCATTCCCAGTGAGGCGAGGGCTCGGTCCCCAAGACTGTCTGGAGTTCTCAGCTCCATCCCCAGTGATCCTCTATGAATCAGAGTCCTGCCACCCACACCTCGGGTTTGGTCACTTCCCGGCCAGTGCTGTGCTGCAGGGATAGGTGCTGCTGTGTGTGTCACAAGGGTGTGACCATGGCCCCAGAGGCCGCGTGGCTGTGGACTGGGATTGTTTGACTCTCCCAGGGCACCCATGGCTCTGTGAGAACTCCGACACCTGGAGTTTCAGGCAGTGACAGCTCTGTCCCTGGCCCCTGCCCCCTGCCCCCGCTGGAAGTTGGGCTGGTGGGAGGGACAATGCCCGCTTCTGACCCTGACCCATCCACCTGGTGACCAGGCTCATCCTAGACATCCAGGCCCACATGGTCGCCTCTGAGGGACACAGGGTGATCCCTTCACAGAGGAAGTGCGGAGGCGTCCCAAGCTGTGTCCTGACGCCTCCTCTGCAGAGATGGGCATCTCCTGTCCCAGGCCACTCTGCTTGGCGGCTGTGGTCACCTGTATTCTCAAGCGCTCTGTGGATGGGGCGGCTCTGAGGAGCCAGGTCGGGGCAGAAACACCTGTGCGTCCCCCTGGCTGTCCTTGGTGTGGGCGTCACTGTGACCAGGGCAGGGACTGAGCCCCCAAGGGAGACGTGTACCTCGTCCTCTGCTCACCCCTTCTTGCAATGTGCTGCCTCCTGGATTCCAGAGCGGATCCCCTCAGGCTCCCCTGCCTGGCCTCCTCCTGTTCCAGCGAAGCCCAGTCCTCCAAGGTCCCAGAGGCCACAGGGCTTGGGGTGGCTCCCGACACCTCATGCACAGGACTGTCCACTGCCCTTTCCCTCTGGGCTGCAGAATGACGCAGCAGCTGCCTCATTTCCACGCTGTCACCCTCCATCCCTGCTCGCGTTTTTCCTCCCAGAGGAAAATTTGCCACCCTTACAGCCTCACAGCCACACAACAGAGTTCAGCATCCGTATGGGGACAATGACCTTCCCGAAAGCTGGGAATCCATAAAAGACACACGAGCAGAGTGACTGACACTCGGCAACGCGGTGGTAACTTCCTGTGAGAAGGGTAGAAACAGGACCTCCGAAAATAAGAATGTGATGTTCTTACACCCATTTTCAAATGAATAGTGTGGACACATGAATTCTACTGACAAATTTAAAAGTGGTGCGATGGTTTCATTTTATGTAATAATAGGTTTGTAATGGAGAAGAACTTACTTTCTTTGAAACCCTTCTCCTACCTTGGATAAATAATTTAAATGTGAAATAGAGAAGTGGCGGAGGATATGTAGCCGTCAGTCCTCCAGTGGGTTCTAACTCCAGGGAGCACAGCTTGTCTTCACTGGGAAAGAGGGAGAGGAGGCGGAAGAGGAGGAG